GTCCCTCAGACCTGCAGCCTGTCCCTCAGACCTGCAGCCTGTCCCTCCATCTGAGCTTTAAATCTGTTTCTTCACCCACAGGACAACAGCAGACAGCTGTGACATCACTTCCTGTCCCGCCTCCACCCCCCTCAGTGTTTTACTGAATAAACTCAGTGGAGTGACGTCATGAGATGAGGTCAGACATAACCAGGATTTTTTTTTTTTTAAACAGTGATTATACGTTTTCACCCTCACTGTGACTCGTCTCTTCTTGTAATAAATAATATAAAAACATAAATCAGTTTGACTGAATGATCAGTAATTATTTGTCTTTTTCATTCAGGTGTAATAACTAAAATAAGTTAAATAAAATCTACTGAGAGCAGAAAGAACTGAGAAGTCATCTGAAGGTAGAAGTATTTTAGTTGCGGTTTCGTCCCTCCCCAGGTAATGTTTGTGTCTCTGAGGTGGACAGGTGCTGTCAGCTGACCTCAGCTGATGGACAGGAGGACAAACAGGACGGAACAGACTCTGATGAAACGTCCTCGTCCGGCTGAACGAACTCATTAACAAACTTCAGGTTTGATTCTCTCTGCAGGACTCCGATCAGACGACGACAGCCTCCATCTCCCAGCATGCAACGCTGCCAGTCAGCACAGACTGCTCCCATCATCCCTGTTGGGATTCCTAAACTGTTGTTCTTGACACTTTAATATTTCTACAGCTCAGACTTGTCAGAACAGCAGGAGTAAACAGTCGACTCGTTGCTGCTCCTCCTGATGTGAGGAGGCGTGCACGCTAACGACTCAAAGGGTTTGGAGGAGCTGAGCTCGCTCCCCCAGCTTTAATTATCTCATTAATCACCGGCTCAGCAGCAAAACGTCTGTTTTCACTGGAGCTTTGTTTGGAGGCTGCAGGAAGACACGAACCATCGAGAAATGAAGCTTCACTGCAGAGAAGTTTGATACAAACAAACCTGATCAGCTGTTTCTGTTACAGTCAGTCAGCTGCACGGAGGCCACAACAAGACTCCGCCTGTAAACAACATCGACAAGACTCC